TATATTTTTTTTATCATCATATGTTGGGACATGAGAGAGCAATTTGAAAATTACTAAATGATCGCTAGTAGTGAAAGGACACCACCCAGTGATTAGATTTCTCGATTCATCACGGTTCATTGAACATCGCCTTCGGCTATTACGTATAATAAGATTTTAATCTGGCACAAAAAGTAAAAAAAAGCTTGTCGAGTATGACAGACATTTATAAACAATTTTTGCACTAAAATTAATTAATCTGAGCCAAGCTTTTTTATTAATATAAAAATCGCTGCCACGGATGTTTAGAAAAAATGTGTTAAGGGTGGCATGGGTGGCCACCCCTACGGCGAGCGTTCGTAGCGTCCCGGAACCGGAGGCTTTTGTCAATGGGTGACGGATGGAGAAAAAAAAAGGTGAATTTGGGTACTCACGATCACCGCGACGCGCATGGCCGTGTCCCGTGTGTCTCGTGTCGCAATGGTGGTCACGCTGGGTGTGGTGCCGGCGCGTTTATGCCTCACACTACCGCGAACGACTCCCCGTCTCCGTGTTCTTATACCTATATCCCCGTTTAAATTCCTATGGTACGAGCGACACGCAGGCCAACTTTCCATCGGCCAGCAAGAATTGTGTTCAGATCGGCACAATACCGGTATACGTGGTTCTCGAAACACTTAATTGTAAGTCCCGCCGGGCCATCGCAGAGATGCTCTGATATGGCGAATAAATTTCATCATCGAAGATGTTACATGCCATGGTTTGTGATAATTTTATTTTTAATTTTATTTTTTTTTATTATTTTATTCTCGATGAAAATGAGAGATGTTACATGTATGATTTTAATAGTGTTCTTCTTTATTATTTTATTTTAGATGAATAGACATTATTTAAGACTTTTTTTTATTAATTATTAATTAACATTTAAATCAACTGTGAATATTTATGATATTCTAATCGACAGGTATATTTATTATATTATAATGTGAATTATTTATGATATAATGTTATTCAGGAAATAAGCTGCAAACTTGACTGTTCACCGAAGCAACTTATTACGTTTAGAGAGAGTGGAGTGGTCCTAGTAGTGCAGTATCTAAACTTGTAGCAGACGTGGTGTCAAAAATAAAAGTTAATATTACATAGCTAGTTACCTAAGCATTACATTTGTCGCGTTTCTCTTGACTCAAATTACTTAATATTTAAATAATTGATTAAATAAGACAAATTTTTAATACATCACGTTTTTAA